CGCGCGGGGGGGGGGGCGGGAGACGGTCTTTGGGGCCTCTGCCTGCAGGACAGCGGTCCTTCCCACCGAGTGGCCTCGACCCTTGACTCTCTCCCCAAGTGGCTGCCATCGGCCCGAAGGCGAACGGGGCGTTGCTCTCCGCCCCTTTCCGCCCGCCAGGACGTTCCCCCCCCCTCAGCACCCCTTGACCCCTATTTGCTTGCCCCACTTGCGTCCCCGGAGAGGAACGAGTCTTGGGGCTTGGCAGCTGCTGGGGCATTTCGCAGCTTTCCACTGCAAGAGTTGTAAGAAAGGAAAGGAAGCTACGTGGGACCTGGAGCCGGGCGGGAGCCAAGGAAGCCTCGCTGGGACAAGGGTGTCCCTGGGCACCACCATGGGGATCCAGAGGGCAGGGATCGTGGGGTGGGGTGGGGTCCGTGGCCCCCAAAGCAGGGGGCAGGGGCAGCTCTGTGCCAGTTCGGGACGGCAGGGCGGGCATCGGTGCCTCTTCCAAGGCCGCCCTTTCCAGCAAGGAAGGGGTCAATGAAGAGGGTGGACGGAAGACTCCTGCCCTGTCCTCGCCCACCCAGGCCTGGCCCCTTCTCTGTTCTTCCCACTTGTTTGGAGCAGGGTGGCCGCGCAGATGCCTACAGTCCACTACGAAATGCCCAACGGCTACAATACGGACTACGGGGCGGAGCGGCTGCGAATCCCGGAGGGGCTTTTTGATCCCTCCAACGTGAAGGTGAGTGGGGCTGGGGGCAGAGAGGAGGCTGGTGAGCTCCTGCCTCGGCTGCTGTGGCAAGGGCCCGCCTGGACCTGCCCTGCGGCATTGCCTTTCCAGGGGCATCCGGAGAGGTGGGAAGTGCCAGGCCCGCTGGGCGTGCGGGAGCCAGGTCGCCCGTGTGCTAGAGGAGGCTCAGCCAGACCGGGGAGCCATGGAGGCCCATCTCTCAGCACACATGGGGCAAACCAGGCCTTTGGGCGCTGTGCAATATGTGGACGTGGCTGCTGCATTATGTCTCAACCCCGCTGAGGATTTGAAGGGTTGTGTGAGCCCAGCCCCGCTCAGTGTGAGTGTCTAGGCACAAGCAGGGCAGCTACGTGGACAGGACCGCGCTTTTTCCTGCCTCAGTGGACTTCTGCGCAGGCCACTGTCCGTGGCTGATCATGCTTCTTCACTCCGGGTGAAAAGGTTGGGGAGTCCCCCTTGTGATGGACAGGCCGGGGGCCCCAGCACCCCAGATCAAGGCCTTTTGGGAGGCTGTTAGGGTTAAGGATAGGGATGGAAGGAGACCCCCAGAAGGTTGGCTGGGCTCAGCCCCCATCTCCAAACACAGCCCTGGCCCCTGGAGGAGAGGGACAGGCTTGAACTGGGGGTTACCTTCAAATAGGCGCTTCCCCTCTGCTTGTACGCCCGGCGGCCCTGCAGATCTAGTCTACACCTGCCCTCTTTCAGATGTGCCCAGGGCTGGCCCTGGACCCTCTCCTGCTAACGTCCCTCCTGATTTTCTCCCCAGTTTATTGCCCCTATTGTAACCATGAAATTACAGTCTGGGGGTGTGGGGGTGCAAGACTTGTACATCACTACCATTTTGCTTTGCACGCTTGAACTCTGGCTGACACAAGCCCTCCCCTGTCTCAGGGCCTCTCTGGGAACACCATGCTGGGCGTGGGCCACGTGGTCACCACGAGTATTGGGATGTGCGACATCGACATCCGCCCGGTGAGTCCCCCTCTTCCCGTTTCCCCCTCCCCACCCAAGAGGTGCACCCTGGCCAAGCCCCCCAAAAGCCCCTGGCCGAGTCCAGCTCCCTGGCCCTGCTGTCTGCGTTCCCCAGCACACTGAACCCTCCACACACCCAGCCCCTCTGCGCCCCCAAGGAGGGAGCCGCTGCGGGTCCCAAAAGCGCCTCCCCTGGGGGAAACGTGTCAGGTGGAAAGGGGGCTCCTGGACTCCTCCGTCCGGGGCCCCTGAGGGGCAGCTGGAACGCTTCCACGTTTTCATCCCGAGGACGAGGGCTCCTAGATAAAGACTCTGCCGGATCTTGGAGCTTTGGGAGGACTCCTTGGGGGCAGCTGAGCGGGAAGCCTCAGGAGTCTCTGAAAGGCCCCTGAGTGGGCTGGTGGGAAGGGAGGGAGAAAGGGAGGCCCCGCGGAGAGGCTGGAAGAGAGAAAAAGCCTCGGCTGTTTGGACTCCTGCCCCCTTGGACCCCCTTCCGCAGGGCTTGTATGGCAGCGTCATCGTCACGGGGGGAAACACTCTGCTCCAGGGCTTCACGGATCGGCTGAACCGGGAACTGTCTCAGAAGACCCCACCGGTGAGAGCCACGCGTCCGGGCGGGCGGGCGGGCAACCGTGTGAGAGGGCGAGGGACACGAGAGGGCGCCGGGATGTGGGTTTCACGGCTCCTTTTATCCAGCCTGGCCCCTCTGCGCAAGCACAGCGGGCAGCCTTCCTCTCGCTGGCCCCACAGTGGACTCCCGGTAGGGAAAATGGAAGACCCCGTTCCGCTTTCACGTGGAAGGCTGGGTGCTCCTTGCCAGTCGCCACACGTGTGTCTCTGCAGCCCCAAGCGCAGGCAGGGAGGTTCTCCCCTTTGTAGCTCAGAGGCAGCTCGCCCGGTGGGTGGACAACAAATTCTTCTGGAATTCCTGGCTGCGAGTGCGAAAGAATTTGGCTTTGAAGGAGCATTCGGGTAAGCCCCTTTTCTGACGCACCGAGCTCACCAGATCTTCTCCCTTTGAATAAAATTGGTGCGTGGGAAAAGGGGCCACCAGACTCCTCCTGATTTTTGGCTGCCACAGACTAACACGGCTCTCCTCCGGCAAGGGGTATTCTGTTTCCTAACATCAGTCCATCAAAACAGAAAATAATCGCACTTCCTGGGGAGACAGGATGCGCAATCAGAGTGGCAGTTCCTCGGGGCACCCCACAGATTCAGAGTTGTCCCCCAGCACTTTGACCCTCTCCTCTCCGCCCCACAGAGCATGCGCCTGAAGCTCATCGCCAGCAACAGCACCATGGAACGACGGTTCAGCCCTTGGATCGGTGGCTCCATCTTGGCTTCTCTAGTGAGTCGGGGGCGAGGGTGGGAAACTGAGGGGGCAGCGGGAGGGTGGGAGTTGGGGCTGTCCGGAAGGTGAGGTCTGGAGATCGTTGCCCAAGGAAGCGGGCATCAGCCCAGGGGGCTGCTGGGGGCAGGCAGGGGCTGGGGGGGGGGGCACGTTGGGGGGGC